TCGTCCAAATGATCGGACCGCGCTTTCCAAACACTTTCACCATTTTCACCCGGGAACGTGATTTGTTCTAAAGTAACTTGTCTACATTTTAGTGAGAAGAAAAGCCAGACACTTTCACAATTTTCACCATGAAACATGATTTGTTCTAAAGCAACTATTATACCTTTTAAATGAGAATAAAAGATATAAAAGTTTGTTATTCATAATATTGTGGTAAAATTATCAAGATTTACATGGACTCTTTCCAAAATGCATGAACTTAATATACAAAGTATAAGAAAAATATACAAGCTTTTTTCCAATGAGAAAACATTTGTATGATTGAATTGATCAAATTCACTAATTACGTAAATAATTTGTTTCGTATATGAACAAACTCACATGTGTGATAGAACAATTTTTTTGGCGGGGGGTGATAGAACAAATTTGTTGTTGTGATTCGTTCCCGCATTTCAACAAATTTGTTCCATCACAAAGGAACAAATTTGTTGAAATGCGGGAACGAATCACAACAACATGTGGGAATATTTGTGTCTTGTTGCATAAGCTGTTGGTTATGTTTTTATTATGCAAATTTTATGTTTTCTCCCTTTTTGCTTTTCCATTTTATAATATAAAAGGTGAAAGACTCAGGTAATACATGTGCATGATTGCTAGGCCAACACACTTGACTAGTGCTATTACCGATGATTGATTACCTCTCACTCAGTAAGAGCGGGAGATAGGAACTTCTTCTGTGGGTCATCTTTGTGTGAGAGCTTCTTAAAGTCACTTTAGGATTTTAAGCGACTTCTTTAAGCAAGATTTTTTGTTAAGGCATGAAAACATTATTGCTTAATGATTTTTTTTCCATTATCTTATTATTCTATGTATTACAACTATGACAGGAATCTAATTGTACGATCTTCTTTGCACCATGAGATTTTCATATATTCCTACATGTACTTTTTAAATCATTTAAAAGATTTTAAAAGCATAGATAGTGTTGTAAAATTCACATGTCCAAGCACCAAACATAGCTTCGACGGTCAGCAATTATTGTTATTACATCCTATCGTACCTCATCATATGTGAAACATAAAAATACCTAGTAGACATGCCTAGAAAAGGCCAAACTTTTGAATTCACAAGAAAATATCATTGATAATTTTTATTTATAACAATAATTATGTTTAATTGTATTAAGCAAGTGTTTTTATCTCGAGGGGGAAGAACTATTGCTACTGAATGCCTGTTTGCATCATCCATAGCAATATGTATTAGTACTCAATTCATTTGATTTTCATTTGATGAAGTGAAGACACTTATCGAGCCTCTGTTTATAGAATCGTAGAGTAATCTTGCAATTCGGCATGGATTGAATTTAATACTTCTTTGCAGTTTAGGACCGAAATTGCCTGTTTTGTGAACTAACAACCTTGGAAAACAAAAAAGAAATATGCCCCCAATCACGTTGCCTATGTGAACAAATTCGAAAACTTTACATAAGCAAATTATTGTGTCCCAATCATATCTATAACACATAACCCAGAACTCATATTTATGGTACATGTCATATATGTGTCGTTGTTGGACCTGTCTCATTTCTTCTTTGCAAATAATAGAGTTGTCTCGTTGATAGGTGATGCCGACCTAACCTTGACAGCAGGACGTTTACAAACAATTCATTAAATTGTCACCCCTATGACTTGGCTCGTCACTCCAAACTATATATCAACCTCTGCCGTAGTTAAGGTCCATTTGACAAAATGTCTTTGAAAAGCTAATTGGACAGCCAATACGTGTCGCCTGTCAGTTGGTGACTAGCCGCCGGTTACCTGTGACCTTGCTTTAACCTCCACCTTTGGAAGGCCCTATTCAATTGCCTACTGTTGGCAAGGCTATGGTTGGAAATGGTGGCCAGAGCATCTTGGATGAGGTAGCCGGAAGCTCAAGGACTTGATAAGGTTTTTTATGTTTTTATTCGGAGTCCTGTTGCAAAAAGAAAGGAATTAGATGTTCTTTGTGGTCTTTTATTATGGGGTGTTGTGTCAATTCTACTCATGATGCTAGTTATGGGACCTAGGTGCAGGGCCGTACCCGAGAAAACGGGGGCCCTGTTCAACATCTAAAAACGGGTGCCCTGTTCAACATCCAAAATTACGCCCTTGATATAACCATTGGCAATTAGGAAAAGGAAAAATTATACTCAAGAAGCTAGCCATTCTAAAAACTCAAAATTAGTACATTATTCAGCATAGACATGCATCCTTCTAGCAGTCCTTGAAACAAAATCTTCAATTTGTTTTTCATATGCAACCATCTCCAAAATGCCACTTCATTATTTTGCTAAAAACTTATCAAGGGCACATTTTTTAGGTCGAATGATTAGTATATGATGTGTCAGAAATACTAGAACATATGAACAAAAGAGAATGAAACAAACTTTAGTTTATTTGGGAAGAAGAGCATGATGCGGCCAACAGCAATGCTTATGGAGTTCTGGTGGTCTGGTTAAAGCTCTAGTCGGGCAGCCTAGGTAGAAGCAGCAACAGAATCTAAGAAACAAGGGAGACATGAGAAATCGAAGAAGAAAAGACGTGATAAAAAGATGCTGGATTGATGGTGGAGCGTACCATAAACTAAGATGCATATTTGCATAAAGTGTTCAGCAAAAAATAGTATAGAAAAAATGGGGCCCCTGGTCAGTGGGGGCCCTGTGCAGTCGAACATGTTGCACATGTGTCCGGTACGGGCCTGCCTAGGGGTGATCGGGTCCCTTCCTGCTGTTGACTTTTAGCCGTTGATGTAGCCTTTAATTTTGTTCATTTGATTCTCCTATTTTTTTCTATCTAAATGCATCCCCATAGCTATCTTGGATTAAGGATGAACCCGTACATTCATTCATTGCAAGGTTCACACGTGAGTGGGAATAGAGCAGATAAATGAAGGAGTCAGGGAAGGGAGAGCTACAAATGTAAGAGGAAGAATAGAAGAAGGATCGCCTGGAACTCAGCCGCCTGAGACATAGTTATGTCTCAGTCAACTGAAGTCACCAGACGTCGTACCAAATTAAACATGCTTTTTTAATCACTCAACAACCTCTGTGCTCGTTTCGTTCTATATGGGATGTTTATTTTCGGCTGGGCAAAATGTCCATGTCCGGTGGGTGCTTGTTCTTCTCCGGTATCGTTGTCATCCTATCCCCACCCCTAGCCCACCATATTCTTACTCAACATAGTAGGAATATTTTGTCTCGCATCACATGATGTCCATGTCCGAGAGGTGCTAGTTCTTATCCGGTGCCGTTGCCCTCCTATCCCCACCCCTAGACCACCACCTCCTTACTCGACATTGTAGGAAATTTTTGTCTCACATCACGTGACAAGACTAAAAGAATTAAAGGCGTCAAGGGAATATATTCCCGTCATCATGCCCTAGCAAAATCGAAACTGTTTTAGTTAGATTCAACAACATAACTAGTATTTGTAATTGCTAGTTGTTAATTCGATTACAAGAAATAAAATGTTAGCGTTTGTACATGAATAGTAGAGGAACAAAAAATTCACATGGACTATATGTGGAACATCATTCACAACATGTGTTGGAAGACCCAAATATCTTTCATTGAGAGCCTCAGACTCAATTTCCAACCAAGTGTTTCAGCCGGGCCTTATTTTCCTCTGAGCATCCCTTACCAAAGAAAATTTAGGACTTTTGCAAGTTAACTCTCTGCCCCGATGCTTCTTCATACCTCACCAAAATATCCCTGAGGGCTCTCATGCTATCCTTGGTTCCTTCCAGAAAAACAATACTATTATCAATGAAAAGCAAGTGTGTTATATGAGGGCCAGTGCCCCCGAAAGACACGTCCTTAATTTGGTTATCTACTCGTGCTTTCCTTAACAGTGCGGATAACCTTTCCACAAAAAAATGGAATAGATAAGGGGAGAGCGGGTCGCCCTGTTGAAGCCCCTAGAAGGGAGAAAGCACGTAAAGAAACCCCCATTAAGTTTAACGGTAAAACTTGCTGTAGTGACGCATGTCATGATCATGTCAATCCACATGGCGCAAAACCCTTTTTGTACATCATATACTCAAGGAAGACCCACTCCAGCCTATCGTAAGACTTCATCATATCAAGCTTCACCACACATAAATATTTCTTTTTTTTCCTCTTACGTATAACATGTTCACACTCATATGCAACCAACACATTGTCCGTTATGAGCCTTTCAGGGACGAAAGCACTTTGTTCCTCCGAGATGAGCACTGGAAGAATCATCTTCAACCTATTGGCCAGCACCCTAGTTGCCATCTTATAGAAAACATTGCAAAGACTCATCGGTATAAATTGTAACATTAGCTCCGGAGTTTGGGATCATCACAATCAAAGTAGCATTGAAAGATGCCGGAGTTGCTTCCCCATTCAAGAAATCACGAACTGCCCCGCAGACCTCATGTTTTACCAGCGAGCAGTGACGCTATAGAACAACGTCGGGAGCCCATCTGACCTGGGATCTTTGGTTGGTCCCATTTGGAACAGTGAGGTTTCAATCTCCTCATCGGCGATAACCGCCGTGAGCTTGGAGTTCATCTCGCCGGAAACCATTAGTGCAATATTATCCAGCAAGGCATTAGCGCCAACCGATCCATCAGAGGCAAAAGGCTTTCACCGTGTTTTTTTGAAATAAATAAATTAAGTAATGGCATTGGGAATTAAATGGTAAGTTATGTTTTTCTTTTTCTTTTTTGAAGGGGATTGGGCATGGTTCACAGTCCAGTCCACTACTCTACCTACTCGGCTCTAGTGATCCTTGTTCCCCTTTTCATCCCCTTCTTCGGTTCCTCAATTCTCCAAATTTATCCACTCTGCTTGTGTTCGTCTGCTGATCTGGTGAGCAAATCCTCCTCTACTCGGTCGATTCCGTTGTTTCCATTACGCATTCACGCTGCTCACCCACAGATTTGTACTATCGACGATTAGTTAGGGTTCAGTTCAGGAGCTCAAGCGCGCGGCAATGGCGGCCCCCGCTGCTGAAGCCCCGGCGGCCGTCGCGGCCCCCGTTCTCCCTCCTGCCAGAAGGAAGGATGCGGATCCGGCTCGTCTCCAAACCCCGCCGCTCCTTCCGGCCGCAGGCTGGTCGGACCTCCCGCCCGATCTCGTCCGCCGCGTCGCCGACTCCCTCGTCGCCGCCAACGACCTCGACTGCTACATGGACTTCCGCGCCGTCTGCTCCGTCTGGCGCGCCGCCACCGACGACCCCAGGAGCGACCCCTTCGACCCCCGCTTTCGCCCGCGCCGGTGGGTCATCCTGGACGACGGCGACGACCTGCTGCTGCTGAATGCCGCCACGGGGCGCTTCCTCCGCAAGAGGATCCCGCTGCTCCGCCGCTACCACGTCCTCGCCGCCACTCCCGGCGGCTTCTTCGTCCTGGCGGACAGGCACCCTTCTCGAGCCGCCTGCGTCTTCAATCCTCTCACCGGCGTCGTGATCCGGTTCGCGGCACCCGTACCAACCAAGAAGGTCGCCGCCGCCAGTGTCGTCTTCGGTCCCAGCTCTTGGCCCACGCTCACGCTCAACTTGCTCTGCGACTCTCCTTCCAAAAGTTACTCGGCCACCCCTGACATGGAAAGTTTCGAAGAAAAGGAGCTGCAGTTGCCCATTGATTGTCATATCTCATTGAAGGCAGTCAGAGGCGGTGTCTATGCCGACGGTGGTGGCGCTGCGCAGGGATTCAGGCACGGGGTTTCTGTTATATTCGATATCTTCGATTTGATACAGTCACTTCATGTCCATCCATCAATGTTTTATGCTGAGGATCTTCCTGTGGCCGGACACGCAAACGACCATACCCGGTTTTTCATCGTGGAATTTGGTGGAGAAGTGCTGATCGTCATCAAGCTGCAGCGACGTGTCAAGGTTTTCAAGATGGACGTTAGTAGCATTGTGCCTGTGGAGAGCATCGGCAGCCATGCCATCTTCATCGGTCATCACAGGTGCCTGGCTGTTGACACCGATAAGTTTCCATCTGTTGAGTCCAACTGTGTCTATTACGTTGAGCGCCTGGGTTCGTCCGCGCACATCTGCATGTACAATCTCAAGGACGAGAACGACGAGAGGATCTCAGCTGGCGATGTAGATTTCGTGAAGCTGCACGAGTTGTTCGTCCTCGCCGCCCACCGCCCTTTTACCATCATCCAGCTTCTCTCCAGCTACACCATCAATGTCCGGGATTCTCAACTGCCGCTACAACAGGGCGCCAACTAACTTTTGGCTATGAAATGGTTTGACTTTCTCTCTAGTACTCCCTCTGTAAACTAATATAAGAGCGTTTAGATTACTACTTTAGTGATCTAAACACTCTTATATTAGTTTACGGAGGAAGTACCTTGCTAAGAAACAGACTTGACTCTAGTTATGTGGAACTGCTGTTTGTGGGCTTAATTAGGACCAGATATGAACCCAATGCTCCATCTGTTTTGCCTGATGCTATCTTTTGTCTATTTGCACTTGTTCTTCCATTGTTCACTTAGTAATGCAGTCTGATGCTAGCAAATTTCAGTTCAACATTTTTTTCCATTTCTGAATTCAGCCCTGCAACTGAATCGTTGAATGCATGCGTCTCTCTGTTGTTTCCATTATATTTTTGTTAATATTTCAGTATGAATGTAGGCTCAGTTTTTTCCGCCTTTCTGAATCTGGCTCTGCAATTGAACCGTTGAACGGTTATCATACCTGGTTGTTCCCCGTAGGTTTTGTTCCTTGTTGGATTTCTCATATCTCATTGCAGCTTAACATTGATGTTAAGATGTGCTGTTCATATACAAATCTCTGACAATTTGTGGTTGCTGCTTCTAGAGGGATTCTGTAGATTCAGATATTTTGCATATTTTCTCTGGGCAGATACTCTATCTTCACATAAATTGTAAGTATCCTGTTTTGAGGATAAAGGCGTTCTGATTGAATCATACTATATAAAATAGTGTTGGTTCAGTATAGGGATATTGCTTGGTTATGCAGGGGTGGAGTAATATCAAACTCATACGTACTAAATACTCCTAGATACTAGTAGATGAGAGTACGTAGATTCTATTTTTCCTGCTAGCTGTTTTTTGCAGTTATATTTAGATTCGAATGGGTATGCAGACATCAGTTTACATATATACACATTGGCCTAACTGGACCGACTTTAATCATGCAATTTGAATATTGGCAATGTGCTGTTGTAACTTCACTCTTACTCGTGTCAGTCATAGGTTATATATAATTATGTCTAGTGCCATAGTAGATTTGAAATGGAAGCGATGCTGTTGTTTGTGTTGCTTGATATGAATTGATGGCTGGTTTGTGCTTACGCAATAATGCAAGGACATGAAAAACTTGGCTGCAAAAGAAGATGTAGCAAAAAGACCTTGAAGTTTGGGTGACTTTCTTCAAGGAACATATTAACAACACACAAGAAGCTCCTATACACTATCTATGTATCAATGGCCTCTTCCAGCATCTTGAGATCTTCGGACACCAGCTCGGTAACTCTGGCTGGGGTTGAGCTCTTGTTTTCAAAGATCATGGCAGTCCTTTCCTTCCAAAGGTGCCAGTCCACATACACCGCAGCAGTAATTTGTCGCTTGAGCTGATTGTCAATTGCATCAAGGCAACTGCTGCCACACCTCTTTGGCAAACGGGCAGGAGATCGGTAGGTGGCCGGCATTTTCCAAGCACTGATCACACAAGCTGCAAGATGTAGTAGGATTTAATTTTGGCCTCGGCTTTGATCTTCCAAACCTTCTTAGAGAATGACTAAAACACTGGATGTCTTTCATTCCCAGCCCCACATATTTCTTTGGAGCACAGATTTGCTTCCGATTAACCAAGCACTTTCCTCCATAGGCTTCCTCTCTTTCATTCCAAATTTCCAACGAAAAAGTCTGTCATTCTGTCTAGTTTCTTGGTGGCCCAAGCATCCATAGCAAAGGTGGCGAGGTAATAAGCAGCAGTAGTTGTCAGCACAGAGTAGATTAGCACTAATCTTCCAGGCTTGGTTAAGAATTTGCTCTTCCAAGGTTTTTGTTCTCCAGCTGCCTTATCAAGGATTGGCTGCAGATTCACCCTTCTTTGGCCCCCTGAAGCGGAGAGGCAGGTCAGGTAGCATCAGGATTGCTCCGTGAGACTGCAAAACTACTTATGTAATCCTCAACAAATGAGGACTGTAGTGTAGCATTTGAGCGTTGCATAAGCAGTTTTGTAGTCTTTGTTTGTACAGCAGTCTGGGGGAGGGGGAGCATCATGGCTTATACTCAAATTATACGTCTTTTGCGTTAGATACAAACTACGAAACTACAAATGATGCTTCTGTTGGTACCTCTTTTGATGTGGATAATTAGATGAATTTGCCATTCCCACGTGAACTATTTTGTTTATCTAATTTTGCCGGTGGTTTTATTTTTCAAATTAAGGAGCTCTTGCTAATGATTTCATTGATAGTTAAACTGGCAATTTCTGCAAAAAAGATAATTAAACCGATAAAACATTCACATGACCCAGTGTGACAGAGCTGGCGCCACCAAGCTCACCTCACAAATAAAGCTCTACCATAAACCAAAAGAAACTACTTCGCTGCACATAAACAAACAAAGTCTAAGACATGACTACGAAACATAACAAACATAACCAACGAGAACACAACAGCCTCCTTAAGAAGAACAACTACCCATCATCTTTTTTTTGGGGACGGTCACCAAGGCGAGAGCTTTCTCACCTGAATATATTACCATGCAACTAGGTTTACAAGTAATATTACAACATCATCAATGGAACTGGTAATCTATACGAGAGATAAGGTTGAGGTCAATGCAATCCTCAGAAGTGATGGTGGTGTTCTAACCCTGGCGTGAAAACCACACCCCAAAACCGAATTCGTGATGTTAGGGTTAGGCGATCGGGCCGCCGCCGCCATCGAAGCCTGGCTGGGACCTAGTCCCCGTCGGCACTATTTCCGCGTGCGTCTATGAGATGTACTGCGGACTGGTTGCGGCCTCGTCCTCCGCCTCGCAGTTGCTGGGATCCTGTATCCAGTCGACCATGTATTAGAGCATCTCCAACAGTTTTGCCCCTAAGGGGGCGCTTAAAATCGCCGCCTGGGGCGAGCCGGCGCAAAAAAAGGGCCTGTGACGAGTTGGTCCCTAGTTGCCGGTCCCAGGGCCGCCCCCAGATGCGCATAATTAAAAAGAAAACGTTCGGCGAATTCGTTTAAACACGGCTAAATTTTGGCCAAATTTGCCATATATTGACATGTTTGGTGATACATAACAAATATAACTAAAACAAAAAATCGCTGAACGCCGAGTAGTCGCCGCCGTCGTCGACGGCGGCCTTCTCCTCCTTGACGCGGCCGTCCCTGGTGGACCCCTGACCGGCGTCCCCAACGCGGACTGGTGGCGGCGGCGCGTCGTCGTCGTCGTTGTCCTTGATGACGACGACTCATTCTTCGTAGCGGCCCCTGCGGCGCTGCTCGAACCGCGCCAGTGCGGCGCGCTGGCGCTCCCTCGCCATCTTCAGCGAGTCCTTGCGCGCCCATTTCAGGGCTGCTTCGTCGTCGAGCTCCATGTCGCCGTTGTAACACCCTCGATGCGACTATATCTCCCACGCGTCGAGGCACGACTTAGAGGCATAATCGCATTAAAGACATATGTCGCAAGTTAGGCAATCTTCACAACATCCCATGTAATATAGATAATAAAAGGGGAGATAACATAGTTGACTTACACTCGCCAAGTCAATCAAGGTACATAAATAACATTACATTATCCAAACACTCATGGCCCGACTACGGCGCCAAAATAAAAGATAACCCAACATGCGACACGGTCCCAATCACCCCCAACTGGGCACCACTACTGATCATCAGGAAAGGAAACATAGTATCGTTGAGAGTCCTCGTCGAACTCCCACTTGAGCTCAAGCGCGTCACCTAGAGCGGAATCATCAGACCCTGCATCTGGTGTAATAGTAATCTGTGAGCCACAGGGACTCAGCAATCTCGCACCCTCACGATTAAGACTATTTAAGCTTATAGGTAAGGCAAGGTAAATATGTGGAGCTGCAGCAAGCGACTAGCAAATATGGTGGCTATCCTGTTCGCAAAAGAGAGCGAGAAGAGGAGGCAAAGCACGAGCGAGAAACTAGAGGACAACCTGCGCAAACATTACTCCAACACCGTGTCCACTTCTCGGACTCCGCCGAGAAGAGGCCATCACGGTAACTCACACGGTTGATTCATTTTTAATTAAATTAAGGTTCAAGTTATCTACAACCGGACATTAACAAATTCCCATCTGCCCATAACCGCGGCACGGCTTTCGAAAGTTCAAATCCCTGCAGGGGAGTCCCAACTTAGCCCATGACAAGCTCTCACGGTCAACGAAGGAATAGACCTCCCCCCGAGACGTTCCGATCAGACTCGGTACCTCGATTCTTCAAGACACTTCGACAGGTTAAAACAAGACCAGCAACACCACCCAGATGTGCCGACAAATCCCGATAGGAGCTGCACATATCTCGTTCTCAGGGCACACCGAATGAGCAAGACGTCGGGTAGGCCAGCCCAGAGTTGCCCCTGGTAGCCCCGAACATCGCTCGGTTGGACCAACACTCAGAGGAGCACTGGCCCAGGGGGGCTAAAATAAGATGACCCTCGGACTCCAGAAACCCAAGGAAAAAAGAGGCTAGGTGGCAAATGGTAAAACCAAGGTTGGGCATTGCTGGAAAAGCTTTAATCAAGGCGAACTATCAAGGGGTTCCCATTATAACCCAACCGCGTAAGGAACGCAAAATCCGGGAACATAACACCGATATGACGGAAACTAGGGCGGCAAGAGTGGAACAAAACACTAGGCGAGAGGCCGAGCCTTCCACCCTTTACCAAGTATATAGATGCATAAAGATAACATGGCAATATAATGATATCCCAACAAGTAAATAAATGTTCCAACAAGGAACGGTCTCCAATCTTCACCTGCAACTAGCAACGCTATAAGAGGGGCTGAGCAAAGTGGTAACATAGCCAATCAACGGTTTGCTAGGACAAGGTGGGTTAGAGGTTTGACATGGCAATTTGGGAGGCTTAAAAGCAAGTGGTAGGCATCGTAGCATTGGCATAGCAAAAGAGCGAGCATCTAGCAAAGCAAAGATAGTAGTGATTTCGAGGGTATGATCATCTTGCCTGCAAAGTTGTCAGAGTTGACTGGATCCTCTAAAGCAAACTCAAT